TCCTCCTCGCTTCCCTCTTCCTCCTCATCGTCACTCCCTTCTTCCTCTTCCTCCTCAGAGTCTTCCTCCTCAGAGTCTTCCTCTTTGTCTACAGCTGGCATCTTGATGATGATCTCATCATCAGCATCATTTTCCGCCGCCGTGGACTTCCTTCTCTCGAGGAAAGAGGGTGTGCAGACAGGTGTGCTGTCCTAAAGAAGAGCAAAGATTACACTGACTCACTGCTCCACCTTGTGGTAAAAACCAGTACTGCATGGAAGTACAGCATGAAGCTCAGGCATCAAATTCAACACCTTTCTTCTGTCTCTCTGGATGATATCAATCCTTTTTTTGCAGATTTTGTTGTTAAATGCATCTATTTTAAGTAAGAGGCTTAAATGTTGGTACATGGGTTTTATCACGCTGGCACTATCAGACACGCGCGATAAGCTTAACGCACCGCAGTTCTTTAGGCGCAGTTATCTGACCCCAGACCACTGAGAGACCCGGGGCCATTTTCACTCTGCGCCCGACATAAAACCCAAACATGACAACAAGACTTACGTCAGTGCACGAAGATACGTTCCCCGCATCGGAGGATGACTTCTTCTTAGGAACCTGAGCCGCCTGGAAGAGCACAGAGAGCAGTGAAGGTGAAGTTTATAAGACCTCGGAAAGAACAAACAATCTCCAAAAAAAAAAAAAAAATTCACTTTTTTTTGACCAAGCCGAGCTGACAGTGTAACAGTCCTGACTGCACACAGTAACTGAGGCCTGACGTTAAAGACAATCTGCTTTGACTTTCTGGACTGTTGCTCAGACAGAATAAAGAGTATGAAGACACTGATTGTAGTTTTCACTGTTTACTGTGCAGGCTGTCTACTGCAAGTCCCAGCAGCCCGCAGGCTTAAATCGCAGCACATCACAGGATTTCATACTTTGAAAACCTTTTTATTAAGCTACAAACAGCCCTGAGTTTAGTTTGTGGAATTGATATTTGAAGTGGGGAGATTCCTGCAGGGAATGACTCGAAAGAAAGCATGAGGGTAAAAGTGTGCATGGCTTCATTAAATAATCTAAAGTTTCTGTAAATAACCAGATGATTCTGAGGGGGACAGGTGGGAAAGTCTTTCCAGATTCAGTTGAATTTATATGGAATCAGCAGTATTCCAAATCGCTGTAATTCTCTGAAAATCCTTTTTCTTTTTTGTAAAAACTGAAGCTTCTGAACAGATCACAGCTGCACGCTGTTTGGAATTTAGTTGGAAGAAATCCATTACTTAAATCAGACGCCTTTAAATATGCCGCCATGTCACGGCACATTTCCAGTTTTTAAAACCTAAATCCGTTTAATGTTTCCGCTCCAGCGTGTAAACACTTACGAATCCGGGGAATTCGTACTCGATGCCGTATGCTGCGATCCTCTTTCGGAGCCTCGACTCTTTGCGCAGCAGCTTGCCGGTCATTTTTGCAATTTCCTCCTCCGTGTGCTTCTTGTTGTAACGCGTTACCGCGGGATACGTCGGCTTTTTGAACCCTCGCTCCGAGCCGACAAACAGCTTCTCGTGCACCTTCTCGGGAGGAAACACCTGACCTGGGAGGAAAAAAAAAAGTATACATTTAAATAAACATCAAGGAGAAAATAAGACCCTAAGAGGAAAACTTCCTGTGAATCAGGATCTAAAAGATGAGGTTTGACTCACATTTGATGAGTCTCTCTCCCATCAGGTAATTATTCATCGTCTCTGCAACGATCTTCGCCACTTCATCGCAGTCAAACTCGATGAAAGCGTAACCTTTGCTGTTACCAGTCTGCAAACAAACAGAGAGAGGAATAAAGTGACAGTCACAGACTCTCAGATGTTTTCATTCCCTCCAGATGTTTGTTGGCACATGGGTTTTATCACTCTGATAACAGGCAGAGCAGGTGATAAGCTTAATGTACCAGAGTACTCTAGGCTCAGTTATCTGACCTCAGACCACTTTTACATCTGAGATCATTTTCAGTCTCAGCCAAAACTCCAGATCTTAAGAAGTGGAGCTTCAAACAGGCTCCTGCCTGGAATACTTAATAAACCAAAATAAAGAAATCGGAATGTTTGCAGAGCGTGCTGGATTCAAGAATAGCAATCAAGAAGTTCCTCAACTGCTCCTGCTAAACAGAGGTGTTGGGAGTCAGTTTTATTACTTTGTTACTGCTTTCAGGAGACAAATCCCTGCAACTTTTTACCAAGTTATAGTTCAAAGGTCATTTTTTGCTTAGATGCAACATGTGGGCTCCTTTTCTGGTGAGTTATACCTGAGATTTTTTATCTGGAAGTTTCTGTTCTGGCTATGAGGCCTCAAACCACACAATCTATAATCAGCCTCTCAGTGACCATTTCCCTCTAAAGTTTTATCAAAAATAAAAAATAAAAAGACTCCAAGTGAAGTTTTTAAGGAAGTGATACATCGCTGCAATAGCTGTGAACGTTTTAGAGATGCAGTTGAAGATTCTGATCGCCCCTCACACATTCACACGTTTGTTTCCACATGTTCAGGGTTACCTTCTTACTGCGGGACAGCCGCAGCCGCAGGATCTTCCCAAACTGACCGAAGTAAGATTTGAGCTGAGGCTCCACCAGGTTTCGGGGCAGGTGGCTGACGTAAATCACTCCTGGGGTCAGACGGTTTGCCTGTGATGGGGGAAAGACAGATCACCACATTACATAGAGAGCTGGGCCTTCACCTGTGATTTATAATACAATATAATGCACAGACTAAATTATGAGAAAAAACAACTTTAAAGATTTATTTTTCCCAGGCCGGCTTTTAAAACGTCTACAAAATAAAAGTACAAAATAAATACACTTTATATATATTAAACATACAGATGTTCGCCTCATTTACAGATTTTCTTGTTTAAATCAGTTTACATTCAGTTTGGTCACGTTTCTTTGGGGCCAGTTCTCTTTATTTCTTTACTGTAATAACATTAATCTTCTTCTCAGTCCGTAAACTTAATAACTTGAGACAGGATGTCATTTCTTCTTCTTTTTTAAAATGGGCCTGCCTTACATCTGTAAACCTGAGTAAATACGCTGCACGTGGGCCGACTGACAGAGTAAAGACCACGAGCCTATAAAGATGTCACGGCACCTGAACCAGAGTTAAACACAGACTACAGAGAGAGACATAGGCAGTCTTAGAGTAAACTAAGCGACAGTAAACAAAAGAAAAATAACTGCAGACTATCGGGTCTCCTTCAAGGCCACATGTCTCACCCACCTTGCCTGATTTCTTCTTCTTCACCTCCTGAACCTTCTTTCTGAAGTCGGACTCCTGTGCAGGATTCAGCGCCAGCAGCTCTTTGGCCGCAGCAGGAGCCGCTTCGGCGCCACTTTCACTCATTTTTCGCTGTTGGAAGCTACAAACGCCACATAAACTGAGACAAACACTCACTTAGCCGTCCATAAACCACGATGCTGTTGCTGATAATGACCCACATCCGGCTGCACATGCGCTGAACACCAACGAGTGCCGGAGAATCGCGTCACGTCTGCAGCTCCGCGCTCTGTGCAGCGACACCTACAGGTGCGGAGGTGTGTTTGTTAGTACGCTCAAACAAGAAAGAAAATAAAACCTCAGTAAAAAAAATTAAACAATGTTTTAATTAAAGGAAAGTGAAAGTAAAACAAAACAAAGGTACTTATTAAAATTATTCCTCTTTAAGAATATTTTAGAAAATGTTCTTGGTACATTTAATTTGAACATATTCCTTTAAATTTAACATTTTATATCGTGTTTATTTAA